TTTTAGGTTTTTTTTTTTTTTTTAACAGGGCCATAGAGGCCGACGTGCGACGGCCGCACGCGCGCACTGTTTCCCGCGCGCCCCCGCCTGGGCCTGGGACGGCCGCGCAGAAACTCGGCCACGGGCCCACGTTCGGCCTCCTCGGCCGCCTCCTAGGCTGCAGGATCCGCGGCCGTGGGGGTCACGTAGTATGTAGCACAGCGGAAGACTCAAAGATATGACCTGACTTGTCAGACTCCCACTCGATTGACACAGGTATCATAACACATGTCGAGTCAGCAAGGAGGGAGGCATATAGGGAAGAAAGATCCTTCCTTGTGCACACACATGGGGAGAAGCGGCCCCTGAGTGTCCACACCTACAAAGGCAACTAAATTTGCCACCATTGCCAGTACGATCCAACTCATCGCTACAAACACCAATGACGACGGCCTGATAAGCTTGGATGTGCTCACCATGCACCAGGAACTCAGGAAACTGAGCAAAGTGCACGATTGAAGCTGGCATAAGGTGGATGAAAAGGCGCGACGATCTCAAATTAGGGGATCAGGTGGCCAACTTGATCAACTTTGTGCAGCGACAGCCCCCAGTTCTTGAGAGGGGTTGTGATAATTTTGTGTGGGTTCCAGCAGCTTCCGGCCAGAACTGGCCTTATGACAGCTGCACTGACATCAGGCTCTAAGTGAGCCGTGATGTGTGGAAGGGAATGAGCTGATTAGCAGTTGACAGATCGACTACTGCACTTACCGAGATCAAAGCGCGGGGGAAGGTTAAAAGTGGGACGTTGTTTTGTTGTTTTGCAGGATACGTGTGTAAATATCTAGATTATTGCGCATATTAATGTTCAGTTACCCTTTTTTGGGGGAGTTAAAAAAAAACTGGCTGATTTAATCGGATGTTGCACCCGGTAGAAGGCAGTGAAGGGGCCTACCAAATATTGGAGGCCTCTAAAAAAATTTATGGATCGGAATGATCTTACAAAGGGTTATTAGAACGCGGTAGTGGAAATCCTCAATCGGAGTGGTGTATGAGCAGAAGGACTGGGTTCTTCGACAGTGTACGTGGAGGATATGGCGGGAGGAAGTCGATTGCACCATGATAGTAAAGCTCATATCATCTTCTTCTCATTGTCTTATTGTCTTCATCTGCCTGTACGAACAAAATGAACAGTCCAACACGACACATCTGAGGGCAACAAAACTCGACCCCCAGCAGTCAACAATATAAATAAATAAATGCTGAATGAAAGAAAAGTGAATGGGACAAAGTATGAGCCTAGGCCTGAAGAAGTGTCCGTGGCCCTCTAAGTCGTGCAACAAGATGGCTGCGGCCTAGTGGCCGGAAGGAGAAATTTTCGGCCTTCAAAGGGGCAGTGTAGGAGCCACAGGATGCTACACCCGCCCTCTTTAGGAAGGGGAGCCATTGCTAGGGTGGAGCTGTCGATCTGAAGGGGGCACGTGAATGTGGTTGTGATGGGTGGGCTGAGTCGAGGATGTTGTTTGTTGTTGCCTGTGGCCTGAAGCGCTGCATGGGTCAGTCAAGGGTCTGCCTTGTGGCTGCAGTAGGAGAAATGGACGAAGTACTCCTTCGGCTTGTTGTCATACTGCCGATGTTGGACAATTTTGCCACCCTCCTGAAAGCCATCCATGGAAGGACGGTCTCGCGATCGTCGCCCAGGGAAGTCGTCTCACTCCACCAAAACGAAAAGGGGCTTGGAAGCATGAAAAACTGGGTAGGTGGGAACCTCAACAACAAAGTAGGGTCTGTGCGGCGCGTCATCAAGAGCCAGGATGATAAGCCAAGAACCCATCCATTCAGGAAGGAGCTTGTGAGAGATGTCTTGCTCAAGGCTAAACTTCGCGGCGGACACCCAATGGAGATCGCCCTCGCAGAACGGGCAAGGAAGGCAACATCGGTTGGCCTGTTGACGCATGCGCTGTTGCGTCTTGTGCATCTCTTCCCGTGCCTTGACAAGAAGCTCTTGCATCCGACAGATGAAGGCATCATGGTCATGGTTTGCGGCATCTCGAGGAATGATGGAGTCCAAAGAGAATCCAGCCGGCAAGCCATGCTCGAACTCGAAGGGGAAAATGTTGATAGTCGGGTGGATAGAAGAATTGTAGGACAACTCGATGTCAAGAATCCACTCGACCTTATGCTTTTGGTCAGAACGGAGCGAAGAAGAACCTCTGCAGTTTGATGCGCTCTCTCCATTTGACCATCGAATTGCGGGCGACGGGCTGAACTCGGCTTGAGGGAAGTCTAAATCCAGCTCATGAGTTCAGTCTAAAAGTTGGACGTAAACCGAATGTCGTGGTCACATACGATTTCCTTGGGGAAACCCTTGGCACGTACCCAACGGAGAAGAATACCTCGACTAACTCTGGTGCCTTTGCGTGATAGTGGCATGGCAAAGACTTGGCTAGCTTAGCGAGTCGGTCCACCACTGTAAGGATGCCACCGAAGCCGGAGCTATGCTTGGGGAATGACCCGGTGATGTCCATGGCCATCGATCTGTGTTGTTGTGATGGAGCTGGGCCACAACTCTCCAAAGGGGCGATGATTGCAAGGCTTGCAACAATGGAAAACCTCACAAGACTTGCAATCTTGGGTGGCATTGGGAGGTCGGGCTAATGCAAACATTGAGGAAGTCGATTTGTCGTGCGGTTGACGCCGAAGTGTCCCGCAAAAAGAGCGTTGTGTGACTCATTGCGAAGTCACGTGTGTAAGAGCCGCAAAAAGAGCGCTGTGCGACTCATACAGGTGCTGTTAGTTGAATCTGGCACGTGCCAGATCAGTGCCTGCAGTTGGCAAACGCTTGGAGACTGTGAGCAGGAATAGTAGAGCTCCATACTTGTGTGATGAGTTGGTGGAAGGGAGAAGAAACTCTGCTGATATTTCGTGGAATTTTCTGTTGGGGGTTGATCGAAGGGGGGGGCAATTCGTGGTTGAGATTCTGTGGGGAGTACTCAATTGAGGTGGAGTAGAGCAGGGGGATTAAATAAGATCGAAAACATTTTTATCTCTCAATTTTGTATCCGTTTTGGCTTCCGCCGTGCAACTTCTCTCCATGGTTATGGTGTGAATCTGCTCTCTCCAGCCTGCATGTCATTGCAAGTGTGTATGGGAACATTTGGATGTGGTTTTGATTTGTGACTCAATTGAGCACATGACACACATATAAATAGCCCCTATCCCCACCATACACACACGTAGCACATGCAAGTTTTTGTTTTCATACGTATGACATTCACTCATGTACGGCATGTCATATCCAATTTGTAGACAGGGCCTGGAACGGCAATGCCTTTACAATTGTGGCCGCCGTGCCGCTGTGTTCCTAGCATGTAGGAGCCATGTAGCCTGTGACATCTGTCTATCCGGTGCCATTCGATGCAGCAACTGCAACTGTGAGAATCAGATGCAGTGCTTCCACAGTCCACACCTGGACTGTTCCTGTCTGGTCCTTAGGTGTCCACTTACCATAGGCAACAGCAGCTCCTCAACTCAAAATCTCCTGCAATCCAAACACAGACTGGCCTCTTGTGCCATTCTAGAGTAGTCTGCTCCGGCGGTGAGAATTGAGAACCCTGTGAAGTTCGTCTTTCCTCTGTTATGTTATTTGCCCCTCCACTTCCCTCCTCTACCCCTTCTCCCTCCATCGCCCCTCGCTTCCTATAGAACTGCACTGCCAGTAAATGCATTCTAATGAGCATCATTAAGACAACAGACAAAATATAAGCTGAAGATCTGTAGAAAAATGAACAGGAGCATACCTCCCCCTGCCTCCTTTCATAACGTGCAAATGTGCCTTGATGGCACACGGGAATGTGGGCAGGTGGCGATAAACCACAATCAATTTGCCCAGCCTTGTACATGAGAGGCACAGTAAAAAGGGAGCTGCAAGAACAAATAGAAGGGGTACCCCAAAGAAAGCCAAAGTAAAGCAAGTCGAGAAATGGATATACGGATCTATTCTGCTCCATGTTGCTTGCTAAAGAGGTAATAAACTGTTCCATTGTTCGAATGGCTCATCTCAAGTGTGCCTCATTGTCCGCGATAGAGGTAAGGCTGCATGGATTTTGGATCTACTCGCACGGGTGGAATAGGGGCTGTTGTGGTGAAAATCTACAGCGCACACACACACACACACACACACACACACACACACACACACACACACACACACACACACACGCTATAATTGTGGTCGACGTGCCTCCGTGTTCCTAGCATGTAGGAGCCACGTTGCCTGTGACATCTGTCTGCGCCGTGCCATTCGATGCAGCAACTGTGACTGCGAAAACTGGATGCGGTGCTTCCACAGTCCACACCCGAACCGGTCCTGTCCGGTCTGTAGGGATGGTCACTTACCATAGGCAATAACTGCTCCTTGACTCAAAATCTTGTGCAACCCAAACACCAACGAACCTCRTGTGCTATTCCAGMGGTGAGTGTTTAGAATTCTGCRAAGCCCATCATATACCTCTCGCCTGCCCTACCCTTGCACTCTGCTTTCCCCCTACCTCACGTCCTGACAAACTTACCTCCTGTCCCTTTCCCTCCGCCCTCTCCTTATGTGCAACTAGGAAATACATACGAACGAGCATCAGTAAGAGTACAGACAAAGTATAAGTTGAAGATTTGAAGAGAAATGAACAGGAGTATGAAGACGAACGACAGACACAAAGACTAAGCATATGCTGAAGATCTGAAAGGTAAACGAACAGCTGGAGATCTGAAGTGAAATGAACAGGAGTATGAAGATCTGAAGTGAAGTGCACAGGAGCATACCTCCCCCTTTACTCTGCCTCTTATTATAACGTGCAAGTGGGCCGTTAAGGCACAGGGGGATGTGGGCAGCTGCCGCTCAACCACCATCAACGTGGGCAGCCTTGTACGTGCGAGGCAAAGTAAAAGAGGAGCTGTTGCCCCAAAGAAACCCTAGCTAAACACGGTTCAAAATGGTTCTATTATGATTCGTCAGATTCGTGCTGCCTGTTAAAGAGAAAAATTTTTTTTAAGTGTTGGGCGGACTCAGTCCGGTTCTACTCATCTGGTTGGAATAGGGGTTGTTGTGGGGGAAGCTTATAACACACACACACACACACACACACACACACACACACACACACACACACACAATGACAACAAAAAAGGAAAAAGAGGCCTGTACCGATGCGCGTGCACGTCTTGCAGTCGCACGCAACCCAGTGCACGTCACCTTATGCACGCTGTGCGCTGTGCACGCGCATCAGCTATCCCGCATGCGGTGCTCCATGCCGCGCACTGCACAAGTCTCTAGGAAATTTACACATAAAATGAGAACAAAGGACAAAGGAAAAATAGAAGAAAGAAGTGGTTGCGGTCCTTGTTGCTCAGTGGGAAGAAATACCTGTGCTCGCTGTGGGCGATGCGATATTTTTCTATCTCCTATAGACTCCACGCTGTTCTTTAAGAAGGCAATCTCTTAGATGCATGTCATTTCTCCAAGAAGGGGCTTTTGTTACAATCGGATAGTATTGATGCATGAGAGAGATGTCAAACGAAGGTTTGTTGAACTTTTCCCTTAGTTTGTAGAAACACGAGTGTGATCTGTGATTTTCAAGTGTTGCTGATGTATTCTTCCCCCCACTTCCCAAACTGCTGTATTGTTTCGATCTGAATCGATCATCTTTTGGAACAGGCAAGGCTGAACGAGGTGATGACACAAGATGGTCCACCACCAGCAAAGCCACTGGAAGGGGAGGACAGACCATGGATGGTTGAATGTGGGGGTATTTCAGCAAACACCCTGTCGAAGCTGCGCCGAGTGGTAAGATTTTTTTTTTTTTTGGTGACGTAAAACAGGTCCTTACAGTTGGGCTCAATTTCCGTTGTGGGGATCATCAGTTCGGTTACTTTTCCCCCGGCAAGTCAGTGACCTACAACATTTACCCCTGATGCTTCCTTCTGTTAGGCTGAAGGACCCCTGATTAGCAGTCCGCTTGCCGTTCAGGTTCCTAGTCCCTTTCAAACCAGGCTACTGATTATGTCGAATTGTCTTTAAAAGCGACAAGAATCAAGGAAGGAAGACATTGTATTGTGTTCTCCATTCCCACCCTCTGGTCTCCACAGTCTCCTTGGGCTGTCATCCGAGACTGTGATTGTTGGTTGGTGCTGAATACAGCTCCGAGTGCCAGCTTCGCAGTTGATGCACATCCCTATGGGTAAGATTGTGAACTTGTGAGTTATTGGCTATGGCAGCTGTGCTGATGCTGTCCTCTGTCACAACATCTTAGTTGTTGTTGAAAGAAAGTGTGGCAACATTATGAGAACCCTCGTATGCATCAGCTGCCCAGATGCGAAAAGAAATCACTTCCATTTGAAACATCGTTACCAACCGGACGTCTGGATCCCGATCCAGACAGTCCGGTGTCCGGTGTCCGGTGTCCGATGTCCGGGTCTGGTGTCCGGGTCCGGTGTCCGGTTCAGAGGGTCCGGTTGAACCCCAATTTCGAAAAATTCAAAAAAAAAAAAGGGGTTCCCAGGCCGTTTACCTGGGCCTGGGGTACCCTGGAAAAATAATGCTGATGTTTTTTGAGAACCGGTACCCCAACCGGACACGCCCTGAAAGGGCCCTGTGTGTGATAACATTGGCACACAAGTTCACTGCTTTGCTCTTATTTGGATGGAATCTTGGTGCATTTGAGCTCTCTGCTTGGTACATGACTATCTGGACTTCTGTGTGATTTAGCAACTTGATTTTCTGTCTATGGCTCTCACTCATATTCCTTGCATTTTTGTGACGTGGGAGGAGGGTCTGGCCGATGGGAGGGGCGACCAGGGATGGGAGGGCGATGAAGGATGGGAGGGGCGAGCAGGGATGGGAGGGCGATGACGCCAGACAAAGATGAGCGACATTGGATACTGTGTTGGTGGGGCCTGAGGGCGATGACATTGGGACACGAGCTCACTGCTTTGCTCTTATTTGGATTGAATCTTGGTGCATTTGAGCTCTCTGCTTGGTCGTTTTTTTTTTTT